AAAAAAAAAAAAAAAATGACTTTGGCATTTTCCTTTAGGTTTCAGAGGCTTCGAATTACAGCCCCTACAGGAACTACAGTTGGCTCATTGAGGATCGTCTTTCACCAGGATTATTTTAACGTCATCTTCACCGAGCCTTCTACCCCATACCCTCTACGTTGGCTCCTGATTTCCACCAGTGAAGTTTGTTGATGCTTTCTTGAATCATGTAACATCACGACTCTTGCACCTTCCTCTTTTCCAGTTACCAAAGCCATTAGAAATAAGTTTGCATTGTGTTATAATACAGTTTCCTGCTTGTCCACTTTCACCTTATTTGCACTGCTCACTTCTGTCCAGCTTGCCTTACCTTGCTTGCCTATGATTTCCTTAAGCACTCACCTGCCTAATCTATAGCAACCCTGGCCCAGAAGAGAGAGTATTCCATTCGCTCCATTGCCTGACAAAGACAGCATAGTCAGGGGGTGAGTTTTCTCTTTAGAGTTTCCTGTCTGTCGTTGGCAAGTCTCCTGACTTAAAATATTGCTTAGCACATTTCCTAAAATATTCCCATCTGAGTCTTAGTGGCTTTAGCAAAGAACCTTACTTGAAGTGATGGCAAGAATTGAGTATGCCAGTGCACTGTTGTAGAGACCTTGGTTCAACTTCTAATCTCGGGTTTGACTGCAGTTCATGGAAAGACCTTAAACTAAGTGAGGAGGAAGAAAGAAGATAGGGTTCATTGGAGCTGGTATAAAGTTGTAGGAACTTAAAATAGTTTTAAACAGCAAGTGACTGATGCACACATCTGGGAGTTAGCCATCATACTGTCTATCTGGATCCTGGGGACAAAGGAGGGATTTTAAGACTCCATTTTCTAGTCTCTTTGTATTAAAATCTAAGTTTTCATTCTCTTGTGCTAGTAATTGCCTAAGATATTAGACACTTAAAATGTTGGGGAAACGCAAGCGTGTGGTTTTGACAATTAAAGATAAGCTTGACATTATTAAGAAACTTGATGAAGGCATCTCTTTCAAAAAACTTTCTGTGGTGTATGGAATTGGTGAATCCACAGTTCGTGACATTAAAAAGAACAAAGAAAGGATTATAAACTATGCCAACAGTTCAGATCCTACAAGTGGGGTATCCAAACGTAAATCGATGAAGTCATCCACCTATGAGGAGCTTGATAGAGTTATGATAGAGTGGTTTAACCAACAGAAAACTGATGGTATTCCCGTGTCTGGGACTATTTGTGCAAAACAAGCCAAGTTCTTTTTCGACGCCTTGGGGATGGAAGGTGATTTTAACGCATCATCTGGCTGGCTAACTCGATTTAAGCAGCGCCATGGAATTCCAAAGGCTGCTGGTAAAGGGACAAAATTAAAAGGAGATGAAACTGCTGCCAGTGCATTTTGTGGTCACTTTCAGGAATTTGTTGAGAGAGAGAATCTACAACCAGAGCAAATTTATGGTGCTGATCAAACTGGGTTGTTCTGGAAGTGTCTACCATCAAGGACATTAGCTCTTGAAAGTGAGCAAAGTACTTCTGGGTATAGGTCAAGCAGAGAGAGAATCATTATTATGTGTTGTACCAATGCCACAGGTTTACACAAACTTAATCTTTGTGTTGTGGGGAAAGCAAAAAAACCCCGTGCGTTCAAAGGAACTGACCTTTCACACCTTCCTGTTACTTATTTCAGTCAAAAAGGTGCATGGATAGAACAATCTGTTTTCAGACAGTGGTTTGAAAAATACTTTGTGCCGCAGGTACAGAAGCATCTGAAATCCAAGGGACTTCTAGAAAAAGCAGTGCTGCTTTTAGATTTCCCCCCAGCACATCCGAATGAAGAAATGCTGAGTTCAGAGGATGGCAGAATAATTGTGAAATATTTGCCACCAAATGTCACAAGCCTAATTCAACCTATGAGCCAGGGAGTTCTAGCCACTGTTAAAAGGTACTACCGAGCAGGACTTCTCCAGAAATACATGGATGAAGGAATTGACCCCAAAATGTTCTGGAAGAACTTAACAGTGTTGGATGCGATTTATGAAGTATCAAGGGCTTGGAACATGGTAAAATCAAGCACCATAACCAAAGCATGGAAAAAGCTTTTCCCCAGCAATGAAGAAAATTCAGGCATGAACATTGATGAAGGAGCCATCTTAGCAGCTAACTTAGCAACGGTTTTACAGAACACAGAAGACTGTGAACATGTTGACATTGAGAATATTGATCCGTGGCTTGATTCTCGGAGTAATGACTCAAGCTGTCAGGTGCTAACTGACAGTGAAGGTGCCGAGGGCCAGGCCAAGGCTGCTGAGCACAAGCCGCCTACTAAGACTAGAAAAACAGAACTGAATCCAGAGAAGCATATTAGCCATAAAGCTGCACTTGAATGGACTGAAAACTTACTAGATTATCTAGAACAACAAGATGACATGCTCCTGTCTGATAAATTGGTATTACGCAGACTTCGGACCATAATAAGAAGAAAACAGAAGATCCAAAATAATAAAGTCACTAGTAGTGCTCATTAAGTGTTTCTGTGTATTTGCATCTTGTGACTGTTTACCTGCAAGGTTACTTATTTGTTTGAAATGCTGTCGATTCCAAGGGCGAATACATTTTATAAGTGGTTTTTGGGGTTAGAGGCCATTTTGGATTATTCAGAGTACGTCTGTTTAATGTTACTCTAGTAATGACATTGACATGCATTTTTCTATCTACTGTTCCTAATCTACATTCTGCTTATTAGATCATAAGGCACTGAGGCCAGGGATCTTGGCCTGTTTTGTGCCTGCATTTTGATGTGTCTAATAAAGGATCATGCACACTGTGGGCACTCAATAAATTTTACTTAAATTGAATTTTTATGGTTTTCTCTGAATTTTAATTTCCAAATTAAAATACCTTGGGGCTAAGTTTCCATTCCCATGACTTTCTCACTGCTGAAAATCTTAGACGAGCTCAGCAAAGATTTTGCTTGAAGTATTTCACTGTGATTGTGGAAAACTGAAAGAAATAGGCGAAAGCCTTAAATACAGTATTTGTGTCCTGGCAGTATTTGGTCAGTCAGCAGTTCAGATCAGCCATCTCTAAATATAGGGCAGGAGGAAGAAATACGCTTAAAAATGTCCCTGGGGAGAGAGCTTGCAAACTCTATTTTATTCTATTTGACAGTAGGAAGCATTCCTTCGTACTTGTGAAAAGAATGCCAACCCTGTTCCAAGAAAATACACTTCAGTTTCCAAACAAATATAATTAGAAGATGGAGGGGTTAAATTTTATTATCTGTCATTTTGATTCTTTAGTGACATATACATGTCAGCCATTTTTCTTTTTAATAAGCTAATTGCTTTAAAGCTTAGGGAGTAAGCCACTTGCTTTCATGTGTTATATTTTTCTGTAAAAACTAATACTGATCCTATAAGCATACATGTATTGGGTTGTCAGAAAAGTCATGATGTGTTTTTCTATGCAAACGTCATCATTTGAGAAACCAGGTAAGAACAGTGAACTGACATTGAATGGAATATGTGATGCTCTGCAGAAGAAGGACCCTAGCAAGGTTCCAATACCATAATCTACCCTTAGTTTCCAGTCAACCCAGTGTAGGAGCTCGTGTGCATCCTGTGTACTCAAGGAGGTCTCTGGACTTGAACCGAGAACTTTCTCATGTGGAATTGCCTCACAGAGTATTACACTTTATCTCTGCACCACCATTTGGCTCTTGAAAAATGTTTTCTTTTTTTTAGAAGAACTGAGAGATGAACAGGTTATAGAGGAAGTGAGGGAAGTGTTAATAAAAGCATATATATGTGTTTTTCAATTGCATAGTAGAAATACTATCTCATAATTTAATCTCAGAGAAATGCAGGGATTAACTGGAAAACTTTGGGTGCTCAATCATTTTAGTAGAATTGGCAAGACCCAAATCAATATCGAGTCAATTCAAACAGAATCATAGGACTACAATAGTTATTGTTCTGAGATTTTCTCTCCCCCTTCCCCCCCAGTTTACTTCAGACTGAGTGTACAGTCACTTCAGTGTAAATTTTCTGGATTTAAGAAGGATCATGGCGGACCAAGTGGCAAAGCTGACATGAACCAGGACCCAGAGCTGCGGAGGTCATGGCTCAGAAACACTCTGCCTCCTGTGCTGAGGGCAAAGCCCCATGGCCAAAGTACTCAAAATCAAAGTGAGAACCAGCACTCCATACAACTGTGTTCAGGAGGTCTGTGTCCATTTATTACCTTAATGTGTTCACAAAGTTGGTCTTTTTTTTAAATATATGCTTTATCTACTTATAAAGCAGCTGTAACATCACAGATCTCATGTGCCAGTTGAGGTTTGTCCGGCGTGAGTTTTAAGCCACCAGGTCCGGGACGCGAACTGCGGTTGACTACGTGGGAGTACAGCGACATTACCATTATGCTAACTGCTGGTTCCTGAGGTCCTTTTTCTAATTTAAGTAAATATGAACCCAGCCACAATGGCATACATTGCTAAGATTCTTGCTCTGCTGGCTGGGACCACATGGGAGGCCAGGGATCAGTACCTGCTGGGCACAGTGGTGTGTGCCTCTAATCCCAGTGACTTTTAGAGACTGAGGCAAGAGGGTAGCAAGCTCGAGGCTGGCATCGGCAACTAAGTGAGTCCTTGTTTAAAAAGTGCTGATTGTAGTGGCACTCTTGACATAGCAAGACCCTGTCAAAAACAAAAACATTTCATTTTTTTCAATCTGCTGTAACCTAAAGTGATCTTGTATGCTTCACCTGTACACCGGCCAAGCAGAAATAATAGAGTTGTTGCAGGCTAATGCTAGCTTGATGAATGCTTCCCCCTCTTCCTCAATAACCTGGACAGCTTTCTAAGCCTTGATTTCTTTGTGAAAATGTGAAAGGTTAGTCACACTCCGGGCATTTACACACATCCACACATCAGCTGTTAAGCAGTCCCATGGCTGTTCTTTGTGTCACAGCCCATTTCTCCCAGGCAGAAGGCCTGGGGTGGACTGTGGCATCAGGACCCTGTTGGGGGTGCTGTCACTCTCTGTGTCTCTCACTCATGGAAGAAATGAATGAACTTTAAAAAATAAATTAAAAAAATATATATTCATACATATGTGTGTATGTATGTCTATATAAACTCTTCATTAGTATCATGTGGAAAGTCAGACACAAAAAGTTTCTTAAGTGCAGAAGGAAATTTACAAGGCATAGGTCTTCCACATTTATGGCCTGCCTAAAGATGGATATGACCATATTCAGTGAAGTTCCTTTATGAACCTTTAGATGTGATTTATAAATATTTCTCAAACATAAACCTTGAGGGTATTAAAAATAAACTGCCAACTTAATAGAGTTAAAAGTTTTAATTGAGCAAATCTAAAATGATCTAAATTGGGCAGTTGTGTCTGGACTTTTGGACAACTGGCTAAGCCCTGTGGTTGACTTGGTATTTAAGTTTTAGAAAAAGGAAAGTGACATACAAAACGTACAAAACCAAAGTGAAGGAATGGGTAGAAGAACAATTTGATTGGTTACAGTCAGATGGTAGCCTGCAAAAACAGCCCAAAAGATGGGCTATGATTGACTGAAGTATGACTAATGTGATTGGCTGTAACTTAGCAACCAGCTCAGTAAAACAGCCTGACGATTTCAGCTTATCCATAGGAATTCAAATGTGGGAGTATAGTGGCTGTTTTAAGCAAAATACTTTAATTTAACAGGGGTTTTTATTTTTATAGTGATTATGTAATGAGATACCAGATTTTTGCAGAACTACAGGGAATGTATCCACATAGATACCTGCGCCATTCCCACTCACTAAAGACCAAGGTCTGGTTACTCAGGAACCTGGAATTCCTTCCCCGAAAAGTCTTCAGTCTACTTCCAGAGACTGCAAAGACCTCTTTCTGGTGTGTCCTTCTAAGGGGCAGTTACAGTACTTGATCTTTCAGTCCTTAGTCCTCCAAACTCCAGTTCTTGACTTAGAGTCACAAATCTTTTTTTTTTTTTTCTTTGCAATTGTGCATCCTCCAGACCCAAGCAGTGGCCAACAGAGACTTTATGGGGGAGCACAGACAAGGTATGTATATGCAGATAGGGCTGTTCAGATACACATGTACCTGGGACTCTGGCAGGAAAGGGAAGGGTAGTTATGTCACTTTTCCTCTGGGAACTCTAGAGAGTCCCAAAATTCAAACTTTGAACTTGACTTCTCAGGGCATTATGCTGGTATATTTGTACAGAGAGAGAATATGGCTTGATTTCTAACTTAAATATTTAGGCACATGGTAAGGGCCTGCATTTACAATCTTGCCCAAATCTGTATATTTTGGGCAGGTGCCTGATAAACTACCATGAGACAGTTTCCCCCAACATTTTGAGCAGGAAGCTAGAAATAGTTTCTTTTGTTCTGGATCTTTCTACACATAGTCAATACTCTTTGTCCTCTGGGATTTAACTATGAATGGGTAGACCCATGGATCAGGCCCTGCATACATATCTAAACTATTAGGGTCTCCTTTCCTTCTCTTCAATGCAAGTAATTATTTTTTTTTCTAATTATATTACTCTATAGGTAGAAAATGTCAGGGAGGGAAAAATTTCCTTTACCCTCTTTTATTAAGTACCTGAGGATCTATGAATTAAACTAACAATAACAAAGAGATTAATGCAAAAAAGCTATATCATTTTTTATTAGTATATCCATTGGTGTTCACAGAAAAGTGAAAATCTAAGTAGAGAGCTGCCAATCTGAGCAAACATAGTTACATTTAGACACATGTAGAAATGCGGTTCCATGAGCTTAATTTGCATAGCAATGAAAGCACTTGCATACATAATGCTAACTGCCTGTTGTCCGTACCACAAAGCAGTATCAGGCTAAAGGAAGCCACATGTGTTTATCAGATTTCGACCCCCCCAGATTAGAGCAACTACATGGCACCAGTCGTTTTTGCATCTTCAGACCATTTGCACCCCAAAACAATTGGCTTTGCATTCCATTTCTTTCCCCCTCATTTTCTGCCCTTTAAAAAAATAAACCTGAGGCTCGTTCAAGGTTGTGGCTTTTCATTACAGAAGGCAGGCCTACCTGATCCTCTCCTTTCTGTACTGATATGTCTTTGTATGTTTATTTCTAATCCACAGTCCTCTTCCCCCTCCCCCTTGACTCAAGAAAACATGTTCTGCTGAGCGGATCCTGGCAAAGTAGTGTTAGACTCAGGAGCTTCTGTATGGTTTAACAAAAGAAAGGGAGTTTGGGCTTTAAGGTGTGATAAATTGTGGGGAGATGACTAGGAAATATATCAGAGAAACTAATAGAAGATAAAGAGTTTTTGTGTTTTAGTTTTGCCATAGGAAACATGCATTTGCCAGAGAGAGAGAGAGAGAGAGAGAGAGAGAAAATCATTCCTTTTCTGCAATCCCTTTTTTCCCATTCTCTTCTGGAATTTTAGGCATGCACACATATGCTCCTGGCATGTTTTTCAAGCCACCAAATCTGGGATTTGAACAGCTCAGTTGGTCAGGAGGGACCCAGCTGTCTTAACCACCATGCCACCTCTTGACCCAAAAAGAGTTTTCCGTAAATGTTGTTATGCAGACTTTTTTGGGTAAATTTGCTAGAGCTTGTGTGCACATTCCAGAGAGAGACAGAAAGTGAGAAAGAGAGAGAGAGACAGACAGAGAAAGAGAGAAAGCACCCCCGTCCACCTCGGGAATGGTCACACTGCAATCCCTTCACCAACTCTCAGAATTTTTGGCACACATGCATACATATCTGGCATGTGTTTCAGGCTGCCAGGTCTAAGACTTGAATCACATGGTTGACCA